GAGCTCTAAACAGAAGCTGAATTCCTGTGGCAGACTTTAGACAGACATAAAGATGTGGGGGGGGAAAAAAAAGCAGGCATAATCATGCCTCAACATGCATCGGACTGTTCACAAAAAAAAAAAAAAAAACATAACACGATCACAGCTTTGATTATTTGGAGTCTTTGTCTTTCATTGTGGCTGGCCTCAGAAAGGAAGGACAAAAACATCTGTTTTGAATGATGCTATCTTGAACTCTCATTGTAAAATTTAAGTGGATTGAATTGAAAGAATCTGGAAAAAATGACCAAAAATTGGAGAATATCGACAAAAAGAAACAAATGTAACTGTATGAGTAGCAAAGGAGGTATTATGTAATAAATAATGTGTATTCAAATTATCGTCTTTTCATTCAGTTATGCGGTTATTTTTAGAACAACTCAAGTTTAAACGCCACCTTTCTGAATAGAGATTCAGATGTGTCCTAGCAACAGTTTCCAGCTGATACCCAGACCCACAGCCGAAATGCAGCTGGAAGAAGACTGGTACCTGGAGAAACTTCAAATCCAAATGTTTCTTGGCTGTTATAGTCACAAACTTTTTTTTTCTACTAACTGTCGTTAGCCATTTTTGTCCTTCAGTTCTCATCAGATTACCCATAAAGGCTACTAAAATTGCAATGCAAATAAAATAAATATGTTCATAATAGTCAAATAAACTCAATTTAAAAAGCTAGAGAAAATATTAGAAATAAATACACTATTTATAAAAAAAACTGTTACTTTAAATTTTGTTTTATGCTGATTTAAAGTAAAGTTTGTACATTAAAACAACCTGATAAAGTGATAGTACAGATCTTTTAAAGTGGGGTCCTTTAGAAAGGTTACAGTTAAAAAAAAGAAAATAAAGAAAGAAACTTGTCCAGATGATTTAACCCTTTTTTGTTGTTACAGTTACAAAGTAGTTAATGATTACCTTGTCATAAAGACTGGTCAAAAACATGAATTTATAAAGTAAGAAACCAAATCTGCTCAACTGTTTTATGTGTCCCTGATTTGAAAAAAAAAAAATAAAGTGTTTGCGTATCTAGAGAAACAGCCGAAGGGTTAAAAATGGTCACATTCATAGAAGAGTGGTTTGGGATTGAGAAGTTTGACACCTTTGATGCCTTGATTTTTGGTATATGCATTCAGACTTGTTGACTAAAGTATGCAGAGGGAAAAAAAAACTTAAGATGACATAAAAAAACGTAATAGTCAATAAAACGCTTTTTTTTATAGCTACATATGTCTGAATGCCAGATTATGTATTTATGTCACTCGACCTTTAATGTTATGATCATATAAATTAAAAAAACTTTCCATACAAAAACAGCTGATTGTATAAATAAATGATTGTATAAACAACTCAGTTTTGCTTCCCAGCTGACACGTTCAAAATCTCTGTTTTATGTAACATAGTAAACGTATTTGAACCTACAGCAGCAGCTAGCTGTAGCACTCCCAGTTCAGCCCGGAGCACTTCTTTTAGAAATATCTCAACGTTTCTGCCAGAAGAACTTCGTAATAATAAACAGTGTTGAAAAGGTTTATAAAAGATGTTTGCATTAACTGCATGGGGAAGTTTCAAGATGGCAGCAATCCTCTTTGCACTTGGCCTCCCTCGGACTAGTCACTAGCTCATTAATCTGGTTAGAATTAAACCATTTTTTTCAAACTGAGCTCATTCAAAGTGCCATCTACAACAGGTAAGATACTAATTATTCATAATCTTTCTACTCACTTCAAAAGATTTGCAAAAGCAATTCAATTTTTCAAAGTCTAGTCATTTAACACTGGAAGCACAGTGAAGCCTTTACTCTTAAACTAAAACAGCAGCAACCCATCAGAACGATTACATCAGGCATCCCAGTTCAAAGAATTACAAGTTCTCAAGTTCTGAATCCTTCAGTAAACAAAGGCAATAATGAGTATTGCGCTGCACAGTTTAGCAATATGAGCACAATGGGCATTTTGAAAACAGAGCAGCAGATACAGCTAAGGATTTGTGCAGTATTAGCCGACTCAGACTGAGGAAATTGTGTCACTGAGGGGTCAACTCCTGCCAATAAAAATTAGAAAACAATTTTGTGTAATATACTGAATGGCCTGTTTTCATCCAGCAGGTGATGAAAATGTCTGCAGGTTTGTGAACATTAATGCATAATCAGATGAATCGATACTTGTGGTTATGTTGCGTCTCCAGCTCATGTTTGACGGATCTGCAGCTGAGCTGTTGAAGCAGAATAACAGAGCAGCACTGTTCAATGCTGCAAATAGTATCATTGCTTATATAAGAACCTCTTACTGCTTAGCCTATCTAGGTCTACTTCGTGTCTATTGCTGTTCTGGTAGTTTCGGTAAAAAGTCCTTCAGCTAACATAAAATATTTGATTTAAAAAACCTGTTAGATTTGAGGAAGAGAAAACACAAAGTACCCTTAATGTCCAATCAGATAAAGAGTGATGTGCATTTTTGTGATACAGACTGCAGCTCATCTCATTACTTTGATTTCAACCAAACTGGCTCCTCTTCTAAAAGTTCTATCTAGAAGAAGCAGCTGAAATATTAAAAAGATCAGAGACAGCTCAAACCCTTCATAAACTGTTTCCTGTAAAGCTAAAAACAGCTTCTCCCACTCCCAGTCTTCCAGTTTCTTTACAGATCCTGATTACAAGGCAGTTCATCATGTTCACACTGTCCTCATCAGCACCAATCTGGATCTCTGAGGACATCAAAGGAGAGTCCAAACCCCACCTGCAGGTTCTGGTTTACATGAGGACACAAATGCTAGATTCTGATCAGAAAGATTTTCTCTGGACTTTACTTCCTACTGAGTGATTGCATCAGTTTCTGCTTGGTATATAACGCTTATACCAATTACTCTATTATATTTTTCTTTTTTGCTACAATTCAGGGCTGACTGCACGCTCATCATGTTTTGACTGCCCATTGAAAAAAAATAGATACTCTCTGGTAATCCTGACTTGCACTAACTTGAATTAAAAGACTAGCCACATTTCTATATCTGACTGTTAGGATTATCATAAAAGCTTGGCTGACTTTGTTTTAACTGGGATGCTTATTTTTTTGTGGGAAATCAGCACCTCCTGGATGTCAATGGTATTTGCAGCGTAGTGAAGTCTTATGAAAATCTTTAGGAAAGGATGATGATGGAACTGTGACTCAGCTCCAGCCTGATCTGCTATTTTGCATAACTTTTTGTTTATAAAGATTTGGCTAAAATACAGCCACAAGAAAAAGAAAGTTCACTCTCCTTCAATTCTAACGTTTTACGTATCTGGGTGTAACTAAAAATTATTTTTGTTTACCATATATTTTATATATATATATTTATATAAAAT